GCTCTTGGCGGTCGGGGAACAACGCATCTTTTGCGCAACGCCATCTTGAACCCGGTCTCTTGGAAGTATATATACCCTACACTGTCACTAACAGTAGTACTACTACTAGTAGTACTGACTACTGTTACTGTTAGTGTCAGTGGCAGTGGTAGTGCACACTGCAGTGTGGAGCAGTGACTGGCAGTGCCAGTGTTAACTTGACGTGTTGTTGAGTTTTACCTTCACGAATTTCGGTTTTCTTCGAAGAAGCACCTAACAGCAACAGGCTTTCCTCTCTAACCCCTTCGTTATCATCTGCTTGGATTGAGGTAGACATAACACAATGGTAATGCAAAAGTTCGGCTAACGCGAACGATATTTACAATAAAACACAGTAAACATATATCAGCATCAGGGCGCAGCCATTACCCCATCGTCACATGATTTCCGTGTCAGGCGTGTGTAAGAAGCGGATAGTGCATACCGTCTTTGATAGAATGATGTCTTGTTTGACATTTAATTTGATCTACCTCTATTTATTTAATTTATCTATAAGAAAATTGTATGTTAGATTATTTCTTATTATATAATTTCAAGAAAAAGTGAGACATCGTTTCACATGACCGATGACGTCATCATTCACAGGTCAACAAGATGATTTCCAAAACAGTGATAAAAATCTGTATAATTCCCACGCGGACAGATTGGAAATGCGACGACAGTATGTGTTGTTGTGGACAAATTGCAGTGGTCGCATAAAGGTATAATCTGGCGCCAGGATTCATAGGCAGTCAGCGTAAATCGTAATAATGGGTGCTAAGTCTAGCGTCAGTGCGTCCACTAGCCAAAGCAGAGAGATAAGTTTTTCAGAGTCTCACTCAAACAGCGGTGCCAATGGCAATGGTTTAGTGGTGGCGGGTGCCAGTGGTGGAGGCGTCGACAGTTACTCCAGTTCCAGCTCGAGTCCATTAGACGTGAGTGCAAACAGTTTAGCAGTGGGTTCTTCAGTGCATCAACGATCGAACAGTGCTTCTGAACCAGGCGAGAGGACGCCTCTACGAACATTCTGTGTGCGACCTCGTGCCCACACACATTACCCAAGAGTGCATCATAGAAGCCATCATGCTGCAAGCCTTGGGTTGTTCTCGGCTGTTCAGGGTGCTGCTTACCGTGCGGGTCTAGTTGACTCCGATAGTAGTCCCGATGAGGACGAGGCGTCTGGACTCAACAGGTTTTTTCAAACGCACGGTCACGGCATGTCACAGTCCTTGCCCGTGCACCTGTTTTCACTAACTGGTGAGACATGTCGATGTGAATATAGACCACCCTTCATATAATTTGTAAATGATTATCCCACATTGGCTATGGTTTCCCCCTTCCTTTACATTTGGGGGTCACTGCTGTTTCTAGTATATGTGATGTGCCTATATGCTGTGAAATTAGTATTCATAGTATTACTATTACTATTAGTATAATAACAAGAGCTGCAGAGCGTCTGGGCTCATCTGAGGTCTGTTGCTACGGTTATAAACGTAACATTTAAGTCGTGCGTAGTGACACCTTTGTTAGGTGCAGATATGCAGATACGCAGTTGCGTACACATCATTTCAGCAACCTGCTTACCTCCCAAATCCCATTGGTTGATACAAATCGCGTGCCTGAAACTTCTGTTTTATGGTGCATTGTGACCCTAACCCTAACCCTATTAAAAAAAACGAATTAATTGTTGTAAAAATTATTTGTTGTTATTAAATGGTTGTAAATAAATCATGTTAATATTTGCATTAATTGGAAAAAAATAGTTAAATGGATAAAGATAGAAAAATACAGAAAACAGGTAAATAATAAAAAATCTGATGGGATTCGATCCAAGGACCTTAGAGTTAGAGCCATAATCCTCTGCTGTACCTGTTGAGCTATCAGGGCATGTTGGTTTTCTAGATTATGGATGTGCCATAAATGAGAACACTGACATCATTGAGGCAGTTCATGAATCCATGTTTAACCCTCCTCTTGAGGGTCAAAAGGTTATCAGACACTTACTCTTCGCACGTCAGTGGAAAGCACATTTCATGGTCCTTTCAATAAAGTGATAAAAATGGTAGGTCAGCGCTGAAACAAAAGAGTTGTTCACTCTGTCCATTAGGCCATGTCCTCAGAAAATGTCTGATATCTGACCTTTCCCCCACTGCCCTTTGACCTGTGATCTCCAATTTCGCACTGGTGATGGGTTTCCTGCCCATCACACTATACACCGAATATTAAGAGCATAGGTCGAGCCGTTACGATTTGTGCCGCAATTCCGTATTTCCTCATACCTTAAGTTAAGGGGGAAATATTCCTCCTCCGTTTACACATCTTGACCTTTGACCCTTGACCCCCAAATTTGTCATCCCGAGTCCTTTTCACGATCTCCCCCGACGTCCCGAATATCGTGACCGTACGTCGAGCGGTTAAGATTTGTGCCCAACTGTTGACGGACGCACGGACGGACGGAAGGACGGACAATCATGCGATTCTACAAGGCTAGCTGCACTTGACTACGTCAGATGAGCTAAAAATCCACTGAAAGCAATAGTGAAATATGTATTACTATTGGCGTAAATTAGCTCTAGAACTTCAACTATAGCCCTTCGCTCCTGTGGTGGAGCGAAGGGCTATCTAGAGCTAGGCGTAAATACGCTGCTCAGTCGTGTAATGTAGATAGTACTGTTTTCAGATTTAAAGTGTCCAGTTTGCAACAAGATGATGCCGTCGGACGACATAGAGTGTCATCTTGTCATGTGCCTCACAAAACCTAGGATCAACTACAATGGTACATTCATTAATCACAACTAAATTCTCATGCCTTTTCCAATGGTATTATTTATAAATACAGTACACAATCTATTATCCAAAATTCTGAAAACCGAAAAGCGCCGAAAACCGAAAGTGTTTTCGTGGAGTTCGCCGGACACCAAAGCTCGCGTTTGGCTGCACAAGGTTCATTGCAGAAATATTAATGTGTTTGCCATTACTCGTACATATTGTACTGTACCGGTACAGCACTTGGCATCTTGAAAACTTGGGTTTTAGTACTGGCTGGTGGCAGGATATGTGGTATGTATATCTGTACTGTACTAGCATTCCGAAATCTGGAAAATGCCGAATTCCGAAACGTGTCTGGTCCCAAGGGTTTCGGATAATAGATTGTGTACTGTAGAAATAGTCCCTTTCCAATTTCCATATGGTTTGATTGACAGGCAGAACATCTGGCTAATCATTGTTGTGGTGGTATGCTGTAGAATGAATGCTTGGCAAGAAAGTGCTGCTGCCAAGCTAACATATTGGCATGTATGCAGAAAAAACACACATAAAATAATCTACCTGGACCTGTCTAACAACAGTGTCCAATTAAGGCACATGGGTTATCTTGCTCATATGGTTAACTCGGTTAGCATTTATATTTACCGAAAACTTTTAATTGTTATTGTGTCAAGCTTCTATGCAATAATCTATAACACATGATGTAATTGTATATATGCAAGCTAATGTTATCAGAACATCATCAATAACAAAGTTATCACACTTTCTTATTGAAGATGAAGAAAGAATATATGCATGCAGTACATAGTAAGTCCATATTCCTTCTCATTTTATTGTCTCGATGGCATTTGTATTTTATAATTAATTTCAAACTTAAATGCATTTCAGTTGATTCACTACAGTTAGATAGTGGAGAATGTGTCATATGCTTGGATGATCTAACCTCTGGACAGACGATAGCTAGGTTACCCTGCCTCTGTATATATCATAAACAGTAAGTTCTCTGTGTGACCAAGTTATAATATTATTGATCATTTCAGACTTATTTTTCTTGTCTTCAAATCAGAAAGGCATACCTGTGCTTAAATTTAGTGAACTAAAATGAGCTTTAAACGTGCACGTACATACATGCACGCGTGCACACACACCCACGCATACATACGCACGCATACATACGCACGCCTGCATACATACGCACGCCTGCATACATACGCACGCCTGCATACACATTACATATGCATACATATGCATACATACGCACGCACGCCTGCATACATACACACGCCTGCATACACATTACATACGCATACATACGCACGCACATGTATTGATACATCAGGCAGATCGAGAATTAAATGCTTTTGTTTAGATTTAAAGTAGAGCAGATCCAGCAATGACCCTTGGGGGGGGGGTCAGTCACGCGCATGGATACAACATATCGTGGTTATATGTGGAACGTGCTGCAGGCAGTGTTGCAATGTTATGTGAGCCATTGGTTTGTGTGTGACACATTTATTGCCATCCATTCAGTATTGTACCACACAGACTTCGTGGCCTGCCTGTACTGTTCTACTAGGCTACTAGCAACCTATATATACATGCAAGAGTAGATAATAACACAAGAGTGCGGCACGAGTTCGGCATTTTTAACCGATTTTTCTCATCAAAATTTGCCACCAATAAAGAAGGAAGTGTATACGTTCCTCAGCTTATTATGACCACTAATGTGTTATTATCTACTCTTGATACATGCCAGTGCATTGGCTGTCTAGCGTTAGCTCAGTCTGGATGGCATTGATTTGTTGGTAGAACAAACAGTGCTAATTTGTATCTGTATGCTCCAATGTCCACGTACTTGCCATGTAGAGCAAGGATAGTGCCTCTGACCTTGTGGCTAGGTTGTGCTCCATGTATGATGTATATCATTGTATAACTTATCACTCTACATTGTACTGCTATTTTTACATTGTTAGTTGTAGCCAATTATCTTCTTTTATGAATTTTCTTACCCACGCAACCAGAGACGTTTTCGTTCCTCTTCCAGTCCTTCCACCTTTACAAAATCACCCCCCCCCTCCCCGATGTAAAGCATCTGTTGAGCATGCCTTAAACACACCACTCCTTCATGGTGTGCGGAACCCATCCCTTCCTCTGTAACCCATCTGCCCATTCCGTTCCGTAGAGCGTTCACTCCTCCTGTGTGTCGGATTCTGGCGATGATCGCGGCTTCGCCTGTTAACCGTCCGATGCTTTGTTTTCCTTTACAGCTGCATCGACGAGTGGTTTCAAGTGAATCGGTCGTGTCCCGAGCATCCGTCCGACTAGTACATATATACAGCAAGATGCCTCCTTCACCCTCCCGTACGTGCATTCATGCTGATGGCTATTGGTAGAAACAAGGCTCAGTGCTTACATATTATGTCCTGTATTTGTTTCTTGTATCTCGTTTCTGAGATTCATGTGCAAATAATGTAGTAGTTATTGTTTCCTATTGATTGAATGGGGGAAAGGGGGGTCAGCGATGCCTGGGTAAGGAGCGAGGAATTTGTTTGGGTGTTAGAGCACGAGAGTTACCTTGTCAGGCATCCATTTGGTACATTTTGCACTGCACAAAGTAAGGGGAACAAGTTTTTGGTAGTTGTATAACACACCCACAGACACTACTTGCATGCGAGCACGCAGGCACACAGAACATACGCTCACAGCCTCATGGGGTGCATGCACCCACAGTCAAAGTCTTGCGTTCATCCGCTGGTCAATGTTTTGCTTTAGGGGTTGTGTTTCGCAAGCCCGCTGATTTGCAGCAGTGCACTGCGCTGTCCCACTTACTGTATAGTATCATGAACTTGTGTATATATGCATTGATTCATGATATTATATCATGTGTGTGTGTGTGTGTGTGTGTGTGTGTGTGTGTTTGTGTGTGTGCGTGCGTGCGTGCGCGCGCGCATGCGTGCGTGCATGTGTGTCTACTGTGCCTACAAGGCAACAACAGGTTACTTCCACCCCTACCTACCCTTTCTGATTCGATCAACTTTTCCATGCTATTGCTGCTGTGTCAAAATACATGTCAGTTACATTGGTACAGTAATACTTACAGCCTCTAGTTAAACGCAGTGTCAGAGTGCATGGCACAAAAATGTGCAACGCATGTTTTAGTTTCAGTTTGCAATAAGTTTTTCTCTGCCGTGCGGTTTCAGTGGTCTACTCTAGTAATATTTTGCCATGCTTACTTGACTAATTGCTTGTCTCTATAACAAAATGATTCATCTATCCTATAATCACCGTAACTCATAATTTCATGCTAAATACACATCACAGCCACAGACAGCTACGGTGAATTTTCAGCAATAATATAACTCTATAAATTGTTCCGTAGGCCGCCCGCCACTTTCATATTTAGATGCGTTGTTTCTTATCAAGCACATAAGGGACAGAGCATCTCTATGCAAACGCACGGTGCTAAAAGTCACATCCGGGTTGAAAGTAAAGTGAGATATCACATTGGTCAAATTCCAGTCAGTGAAGACGAATAATGATGGATAGTAGAGTCTAGGATTTTACTGCATACAACTGTACTTACTGTTTTACTGTATAACAAATCGTCTATACCCACACGTATTTGTTACCAGATACCAGATAATTTAATTGTTATAATTAATTACACATCAACGCTATGAAATTTGAACAGCGCCATGACACCCGCGACCGTGCTGCCACCCCGAAAAAGTTGCGTATTTGACCATTTATTTTGCACGTTACAGACCGAGGGCTATAATCACAAAAGTGCAATTATATTTATACCTAAATGCTATTTAACCGAACGATATTCATTTTAGGGCAAATTTATATAACTATATGTCGTTTATAAGATATTACAATCCTTTTGCTTTTAAATTAATAAATAAGAAACACCCTCGGTCTGTAGCCCTTGGCTGAAAAGTGGTTTTGCGCAACTCATCAGATCGTGCGCTTTGAGTGGCGCCACCGTCGTTGCGATCAAACTGTAGTCGTTAGTGTTAAAACATTTTTTAATAATATTTCTAATGGTGATTGAACGATGAAACTTTTTATGTAGCGTAATTTTAACCTAAATTAACTGAAAATAACCCTAGAACCTAGAGTAAACGATCCCTTTAAAAAAGTGACCAATAGCTGTGTGTTATATGAACCATTTTGTGTAGCTTGGCTTGGAACGTGATAAAGAGCGTTTGGCCTTATTGTGTGAAGTACGCATTGCAGAATATTATAAGACTCCAGTGGAGTAGTAAAGTATTTAAATTCTATCGAAACAAACATGTATTTCGGCTAAAACAAGTTTTCATATTTCAGCAGTGGACGCTATGATATTAATAGGCGTTTGACGTTGTTGCTGTGTGCTTGGTTGTGCATGTGTTCCTTTGTGTGCGGTTGTGCGTTGCACAGTGCATAAATGAGTGCATGGCCATGTGTGTCTGTGCATCTGTGTTTACACGTGTGGCTGCGTGTACGCGTGTGGGTACGCGCATGTGTCGTCTTGGCACTGTGAAAATGTTATCAGTATTTTATTGCTCTACGCGGTTGGCCTTGCCTGTATGTACTACTAGATACTGATACTGATACTGATACTGATACTGATACTGTGCACCAGCATGCACATTGTAATAGCTTGAGCGTTGGCGAGCAGATTATTTAGCATATATTCAATATGTCAAGTGCTGAATTTCACACTTTATAGAGTTGTATAAATTTGTGTAAAGATAAACTATATTTTAGATGGCAAGCTTGGATTTATAACCAAGGATTTGTATTTTTTTAGATTAGTAGACATTGATTACTGATGTTTTTTAGTACCTGTAACAAGCTATAGCTGCTAATTCTAATACATGAAATTTCACGGGGGCCATATTTTTTTCTGGACCAGAATTTTCATCGTTTTTAACGTGATCGTGGGTGCTATTTTATAGACTAAGTTCCATTGGAAATTAAACTATTATTTTTATATAGTTGCAGAGCATGAAGTAAGTGTCATTTATGAAAGAGAAGTGCACATGACTTGTACGTTTGTGTGCTTTAAACCGGATTAGTTAACCTTGTACATCTACAAATTTTATCATAAATAGACCTAAGCATTACCTTTTAAAGAGCACGCAACATAATCTAAATAACAGGCCCATAGTATGTAGTTCAACATTTAATGCTAACGTTTGCTGAACTATGTCGTGCTATGTTGCTTATTGCATTGTGCAAGAAGCAAGGCAACAAGTTTAACGATAAGCAGAAAATATAGACATGCTCTAATATTCTACGCAACAACTTGAGCGACATTACAGATCCTATTTGAGCACGTTATTATGTGATTATGGGATTGAAGCAACAGTCAAAACATCGTTAGAATGATTTTGACTGTTGCTTCAATAAGTTGTTTACAGGCAGAAAAAAACAAGATCTTTTGCAACGTTAGCATCAAATGTCGAATCTCAGTTCTTGGGCTTCACTGGAATTCTGTATGCATACACTTTGCTGTATAGCACATGTATCCTTCTGTCTGATTATTGTTACTTGGCAAACGGTATGCTCATGCTCTATCATTCGAATGCATGCACAAAGACTGCGTTCTTCATAAACGGGCATTTTGGGAACAAACTTAACTTTGTTAATTGACTTTCATACATACAGCAAGGGAGAATGAATTTGGGACCACAAAAACACATTAATTTAGTACAATGCGTTCATTGAAAAGGAGGTACTTGCTGAACGTTAATTTTTAGATTATCTCTTGTGAACTATTACTGTCAGTGAGTGCCTGTTTGCAACAAAACTAGATAATGAATGTCTGAAATCAATTGCCCTGGAAATGGTAGCAATGAGAACAGCAATGTTGGATGTTTGCTATTAGAACGAAAATTTTGTGGATGTAATATAAGCGTCAACGAGCTGTAATGTGGGAATTTCTACTATTTAACATATCAATATTGACTTGATCCATTACCTTGTTATGCTGAGCTAGACCATTTTCAAATGTGTTTCGTTGCTCTTAATTCTCCGTATTACGTTATGTACGTTGGTTTAAAAAAATACAAGAACGCAGACTTGTGCACTTAGGATGCATTTAATTCGCTCGATATAGGAATATAACGAGGACTATATATGGGAATGTATAGGATAACAGTGAATAACGCATATTAGCGCCTGAACCATGAATGCCATGATCACGTGAAGCTAGTGCCAGACCACGTGGTGCGTCACGTTACCTTACAGCCAGACGCTCACTTAGCTAATTCACGATGTGGAACATGAGATCAAAAGAAAATTGTCTCAACGTAGGCAATACTGCATAAATACAATTTAAATACTTTGCAGCTTGTTTATACAGCATGTGATATTTCACTTAGAACTTGCGCATGTAAATACCCCCTGAAATGGGCGAGTTCTTATAAGCATATTTGCCATACTAGCTCATGTACAAATGTATAATAACCCACTGCTAGATTGTGGAAAATGATAAGATGCAAACGTGATTCCCAACAGAAGTATTTGTAATTGTGTGCATGCCATATAAATAGATATTGTGTTGATTATGTGGATGTTTGTATATAAATGCAACACATCGTACACTTAGGCATTGTGATATTTGGTGGTAAATTGCTAGTCAGCCGTGTTACGATTGCAGATGAGGCAGAGGCAAATAGGCTAATTGCTAAAACGTCAGAATTTTTTTACTCTGTAGCAATCGCGTGCATTCAGTGTTTACATGCTTTCCTCTTAGCCCTTTTCACCCCGACATTTGCTGACCAATCATGGTTTCTGTAGAGTTATCTGCGAGTGGCCAGGATGTGTACCAAGAGTGCCTAACATAATCATGTTGATTCTGGAAGTTGGGTGACTGAACTGCGAGATGTAAACAGTGTAGACCGTCTGTAGTGTCTGTCAATGCCTTGATGATTTTAATAGTCAACCGACTCTCTGAAATTACGAACGTTTTATGAAAAAACCCCGAGTCTCGGTGAAAAGGGCTATTTCCGGTGTCCAGTATGTGAATGTCAAAGTGGCGCATCGTTAGTTGTAAATAGATATCAGATGCGGTGTTTAAAGCGGCCATGCTTCTGTTCTGTGTATGAAATGATATTTTAGAGACGCAGTCTTAACTTACACCTGCTGATGCATACTAGGTCTCCCGCCATACCAGGTGATAATTAAGTACATCTTTTGCATTGAGGAAGTCCCCAGAATTCATCACTTGTTTCTTATATTAGTTAGAACTAAGAAATAATAAAATAAATAGCCTTGATACTGAACTTTTAAGCCTGAGTGTACGCATATCGGATGTTCCAAACGCGGTGGTTCCCTGTACGATGATAATGCATGTCCCAACGCCTACATGCACTATATCAGAACTACCATGTTTTTACGTTTAGATCTCGTATAAACAGAATATACGAATGGCTCTCATTGAATGGATACTTTCTCATTAACGCCATCAAAAATATATCACAGACACCTCCCACAGGCACAACTCCCACACCAGTTTGTTACGATGAAGACTGGGTTGTCCAAGGTTGAGAGCTGCACCATCCGCGTGGATTTCAAAGCGTTTTACGAACTGGAAACTTCTGAAATGGACGAATTTTAATGGTATAAACGTTGTGAATTTCAATTAATATATTTTGATTATTTGGTGCCATATACAGGTTAATAATAACATCTCGTAATCTGCACGTGAGTCTTGTTGGAACTAATATGTTTATTGTTCTAGGAGCTCTCACCTAGCTGAAACACAATTTCTTAGTGACAAATGCCAAACACCAAATGCTGTATGTTGATATTGATTGAAGTTACATCTTATGAAAACGAGACCATGTTAAAGTGACATTTTTAAATTGTCATTTGACTTTCCTTGTCAATAAAATAAATGCTAAAGTAATTTGGCATTTCCCTCAATGTATCCATGTTGTGTTATGTACCCTGTGTGTACATCAACAGTTCTGGCTACATAGCAGAATCAGATGAAATAGCACATTGGAAATCTGTTATAAAGTTCATTAACGCCTTGGAAAACTCGCAGCTTGGAACCTAACAACTAACACCTTGGAAAAGGCAAATTGGGCCTGCTTCCAACCCTCTACAACCTTTTCCCCTAATTAATTGGTCAATCCAAGGGTCACACTGCCAAACAATTAAAATGTGCTCCTACGCACCAAAGTGCAAAAAAACTGCTGACAGACAGTGAATGCATAAATTATATTCAAATAATGACATACTCAAAATTCTATGTTTAGGGGGCAATGTTTGACAGAATCGGGCAGTATTTCAAAATTGTGTTTCACGTCATCAGATGGCGCCACGTGTTATATAAGAAGACCAAGGTCTTGAACACTGGCACGAGCAGGTCATGTTCTCTACTCGTACAACAATAATAGACACACAAACTACCGCAGGCGGCACTATCTCTGTACAATTTCATGTACGTGATCTCTACTATAACATAAATTCTAAACCAAATGACCATTGAAACTATTAATTGACTATTAATTGAAGCTGGAAATATGAAACGTATCATTTATTGTTTGATGCAACATGATCACTTCTATACCAATAATAGGTTCACGTGGGAATTTCAAGCCACCCCTGTGTCGCACCACACATTCTATATCATCCCCACAAGTGAAAGACATCACTGTAATTGACTAGCTAACCAAAACAATTTCCTTGAAAGATAATACTCTAGCTATGTTTAAGCCGTGCTTGTTTCACACAGTAAGTGCAGGGCCATAGCCAGAGGTAAATTTTGTAGGAGGCAAATGTTTGGGGAAATTTTGTAGGAGGCATTTGCCTCCTGTTGTCTAATGGTAGCTACAGCCCTGAGTAAGTGTGGAAAGAGGGCGGATACTCATTATATAAGCACAACTATTTTAAAACAATGCAAGATGAAAGTTGTCACCTATTAAAAACATAAAACAGGAATTGTCACTCAACAACAAAATTGGTATGGAGGATAATTGAAAAACCCATTTGAACAGAAGATAGTGACAGTTTGAGGTTGATAAAGTGGCATGTGGAGCTCAGTGTAGTGAAACATATAGACTACTACAAGAACGAACTCCGTCCGTGTGACTGCTATGCATTCCGCCGTTTATTGGTTTAAGATGCCTTAAATTGCCACACTGTTAGCCTATTAGGTGATCACCAGGAGGGGTACCTAAGCACATTTAAAAGGACTAGCTGGAACCCGCGCTAGGCGCGGGCTTAGTGACTGTGATGCATGTGGTACCAACTGTTCAATACCCAGAGAGATAAGAGAAGAGAAGAGATTGACCTTGACATTGACATTTAACTTCATTATTACATGCTTATTTCTACTTACATTATTGGGCTTACAAAAATGTCTGTGCATGCAGCACAACGTTGACAGACGGCGAAATATTACAGCACAACGTTGACAGACGGCGAAATATTACAGCACAACGTTCACAGACGGCGAAATATTAGCAAGGCAAAGATATAGCGACCCCTATTTTCAGGCAAATCTTTACCATTTTCTTTGTCTTTTTTAAGCCCTTTTTACCGTTTTCAACCGAGTTAGAACCCATCCCGTGTATTCATCGATCTCTTCTGTCAATTTGGCGCTATTTGGATCAAAACTGACGGAGCCTTTCATTTACATACATACATACATACATACAACATTCGCCAAATTATAGTAAGATACGCTAAAAACTCCGTAGAATTAAGTAAATACATGTGTCAAAATTTCCTCTACACGTTGTTCCTGAGCGGTACCTAAGCTAGTTCAGTTGACACGGCTTTGACAAGCCAGACTAATTACAACAAACATGAAGCCATTATGGGTGGCATAACAAAGATCGCGAATCATTTCTATATTTATATAGCAAAATAATCCCACTTGGAACATGGGAAATCCGTTTAGAATATTATGGGAAACACAAATAAATTAAAACTGTGTGTAATAATCAGCCAATTGAGAACTTGTCTAACTGGTGGTGAGGCTTGATAGTAATGTCCCATGCACTGGAGATGAATTGCTATGGGATGCACTCATCAAAGCTGGCTGTGATATGAAACCAAAAAACAACACATCAAAGCCACTTTGATGGAAGCAACCCTCTGTGGTCCAACAACACCTTCTGTGATTACCTTCGACTGGTTATTGCTAGACACTGTACTGTCAATATTTCTCGCTCTCAAGACAAAATGGTTAAACATTTCTAAATAACCTCCTTATACATTTTACTATTACTTCGTTGAAACTAAAGCTTGGATGCCAAACTTGCTGCGACGATGTAGCAGTGAGGTTCTGATGATGACAGAGAAAGCCAACTCATCAAAGCTGGCTGTGATATGCATCTTAACACACCATGTCACAACCACTTTGACTGGCTGGCCTGCAAGCGATCGCATTCATCCCACATCCTGGTGATGTCTCGTGGCGGTGCTCTGAAACCCATGGATGTCGGTTATAATGGTGGGTTCAAGGCGAACATTCGGGCCACAGTCTCATCAAAGCTGGCTGTGATATGATAGCTCAAACACATCACAGACACTTTAACGAATCTGCTACCACGCAATAGTGCCACCGTGTGTACTCAGCTGTTAGAGAAAGTCCTGCCAGTCTCTCGGTGTCATCCTACACATTGTACAATTACAATAACTCATAGTAATCGGTGACCACGGCACTCTTGCCTCCTCACCATCTGCCGCAGGCAAGAGTGCTCTGCCAGTGGCGAGTCCACAGCACCACCACTGTATGTCGCACAGACGGGGCCTCAGTTTCATCAAGGCTGGCTGTGATAGACCCTGTCATAAACTATGACATGCCAGCTTTGACGCACTGAAACGTTCTGTTCCGTCATCAAATGACAGACGCTCGAGATTGGCGGGGGAAAATTCAGTTAGCACGCATTACGGCTGTGGAGAATGCCACAGGAACTTTGCAGCTGTGAAGTTTGCCTCTTGTAGGCGAGGAACTTCATAGGGATTCAACAAAATATAGAGTATGGCGCATTGCTGAGGGTCTTCTTTGTCGAGGCCAAATTCACATTTTTGACAGACAAAGTAGTGAGATGGTTTGTACAAAGTACATCTCACTACCCATGTCTTTCACAACATGAATACGATTACTCCGTGACCAACCTTTACCGCTATAGCACCAGTAACATAACTGCAGATATCCTACCTGAAATCCGATTGAGTTTTGGTGTTGATGTTCGTGGTTTGCTAATTAAATTCGATTCATACAAATGGTATTTCATACAATCAGAAACTAATTACTTCATCACATGCTATCCCAGTAGCAGAGTAACTCAAGCTTATCACCTAGTTATTATATGGGCGTTTGCTGTCATTGATCTTATATTAAAAATCCATGCTAACTGCATCAACAGTTTTAGCAGCAAATAATTGAGAAAAATATTTTTTTAAATTGTCACGCCATCACTACAAGCAATGCACGAAATCCTAATACGAAAATCGAAAATCATAGGCTAGTGACGTCCAGCAAAAAATGGAGTATTAGAGCGGAACCGCAGCGACTGACCTATCTACATTCTTCACGAATAACTTTGAACCACTGGCCCTTCAAGTATTCTGTAAAATGTACATGCCCGAATGACATTCCACTTGCCCATATATTCTGCAGGAATATTTTTGTAATATAGCGTAAAGAAGTGTACACCAGACAACTTCTAGATGCCATTCATTTCCGTTGTTAACATATCGTTATTTTTAATTAGCTAATGGCCAGCTGTATTTTAATTTATGCATTTTTAGAGCAGGAGCCCGTCGGGCACGTGAGCTTGCAATGTTTACATGCCCGCCGAGATTTCTACACGTCTCGGGTGTCGGACGCCCGGCTAAATTCGAAGACTATGTCCGTCTGAGCAAGATAGCCATGCCCGTTTGATAGCTCCCAGGATGGTCAGACCAGACCAGGTTGCAGCTGCTATTCACGCACGCCAAATTGTAAACTTTGCGGCACTTCGTTGCTAACCGGCATCTCAAGTATGCCGCTGTCGCTATGCTAATTGGCTGGAGGTACCTGTCGATCACTATACACAGATAAGACGATTCCAAATTATTTGATTGCCAGATATGAGACTCTCCAAGCTGTTGTCATGCATGCGAAGCACCACTACCAACCGTTGCCCAATCCTGATACATCAAAAGCACAGACTGATAGTGACAAAGCAGGCTGCGCAACTGGCCAAAACCTTGACACCTTTGAAGAATAACAATCATTAGCTCAACCCTGATGCATCAGACGTTTAGTGACCACTGCTTAAAACCGTGATGCATCAAACCTTTAGTGACCACTGCTCAACCCTGGTGCATCAAACCTTTAGTGACCACTGCTCAACCCTGGTGCATCAAACCTTTAGTGACCACATTTAGTGACCACTGCTCAACCCTGGTGCATCAAACCTTTAGTGACCACTGCTCAACCCTGGTGCATCAAACCTTTAGTGACCACTGCTCAACCCTTGTGCATCAAACCATTAGTGACCACTGCCTATTTCTAACACATCAGAAGCATCTTGACCACTGCCTAACCCATGTTACAGTTAGTGAAGTTTAGTAACAATAGTTACAAGAACAAGAAATAAATTTTTTGTCTAGAGAGATAGAGGGCTGTCGCAAAAGGCGGGCCTGATAGCTCCTGCTGCATGATGCACAGCTAAAATAATTACGCGGCAACTAATGCGTACACTCTCTTACTGTACGTACAATAAACCCTGCTAGAAACCATTCCTCAACGTAACACTCTACCCTAACCCTGGCACAGTTTTCACTCTAACCGGCATCAGCGGGGGTTTTGACGCCACGCTTCTAGAGCTGCGATAAGATCATTATTCACGGTTGTTGAGAGCACGCGCAATGGAAACGTGCGCACGTCAACCACGCACGCACAACTCTAGCTGCATGCTCCTACTGACATCTTGCAACCTGTGGCTTTTCATTCCAAGTTGGCCACCAATCTGGTGCTCCTGCAAATCCCAGTTACACAGCCTGCCGAGAAGCACAGACAAGTTTTTCTGTGGCGGTTTTTTTTCGGTATTGGCATTATTGCATAATTTATCTATCAGGTCTTCATCAAGAGTGAATTTGATGATCGATAGTTGAAAGGGTGATGGGACATAGCAATCCGACTTATATCAGCATTGTACTTTCACAGTTCATTGCTGCGTGCATGCAGTGCATGAATGGCATTCATACATGCCTATGGAAGGAAGCAGTTTTATCAAAGACGTATATGTAATGAAAAACTGCACACACGCCCAGACTAACTAGCTTATATTTTTAGAATACAAATGGGAAAATCTAATGTCCGCTACATAAGCCTAAAATATTTTCTGCTAATGAGATCTGTGCGTAATCTTAATCCTCACGACGGGAGTCTAGCTTCACGCAGTCAGAGACAGCCTAGTTATTACTAACAGCAAAATTCACGTACAGTAAGTAATATACGTGCTGGGTTGGCACACAAAAACCAGCACTGCCCAACATGGGTATTTTAAACTGTTTTAAAACTAATTGTATTATTGCTTTTTGTCCTTTAACACTAAACTATACTACTACACTAAAATTCTAAACACTGTTTTGCTCAACATCAGTTTTAACGATCTTCAATCAACATCTTTATTAATAATGTATTATTAAGTTATATAGTTAGCTAGTAAACTATATCTGTTTGTTGTCGCAGCAGCCGGTGATAGCCGAAGTAGTGCTGGTGGTTACGACAGTGGTTGTGGTGATGGTATGATTGGTCATAGAGTCTGCAATTATCAGCACTATTCATGATGGGATGCCAATAAACGCAAGCAACTACATATAAAACATGGCAGGGTGTGTCTACAGCATTTTCCGCTGACTGTACTTCTCAGCTGTTCATACCCGCATTGCTATTATGCATGAATGCTAAAGGGTCCCATTCAACGTCAAACAGATCAAAGATTACGTAACAACAGTCGCAGAATCACAGCAGATGAGCATACTTACTATCAATGCCAATCAGAATACAATGCCCGATGCCTGAGCAACGTACAATACAGCCGACAGACGCGTGTGCGTGCCCGCACCCAAATGTGTCAGAATGCATGCACCCATACGAAACCACCTTAATCCACCCACTAGACTTTTTTCACTTGTTGTATTTCTAAATTTAAAGCTGCACAAAAGCAAGCAGACTCCAGGCATGTAAGTAATTTTATCGCCCACACAAACTCGCGCACGCAGACATGCCTGTCAGCACGTGCCCGAACACAAAACACGCGCCAGGTGGCTTTCAATGCCATCCATTGGACAGGTAAAAATATTAATGACGCCCTTTATGATTTAAATACACCGCCACCATTATGGGGCCATTTAATTTATGTAAAATAGCCGGGATCATTTTAAACGTGCTGAGCGAGTCGCAAGCGCCAGGGGCCCCACCGCTCGTGGAAACATTGTGCTGACTCGGAGCGGCACCAGGCCCGGCGTGTGCCTAGTACCGACCTTGACCTTGCACTCATTCTCCTCGCCGCATTTCAACGTGAAGCTGTTGATGGAATCAGATTGGCTGCGGCGGGCGCTGCGATGTAGAATTAGCTCCCGCAACATTCGGCTCGTTCCGGATCCCAAGTCCAACCAGATCAGCTAACGTTGAACCATCGTCTCATTCATCAAAACCTAGTAACAAAGACGGAAGTTATTATATATGCATCTAATATGTGTGTATATATATATACTAGCCTGGTACCCGACGTTGCTCGGGGGAAAACGCATAGGAACAACTTTTAAGAGCAAATTCAGCCACATATACTTACTTAATTCTAAAATATTACTCCCCCCCCCCCATTCACCCATACGATCCCCATCAGGAAGGAAACAAACTTAATTCTTTATACCATGTTATACATTATATCCGAATGTATACACAGACATATTACAATTTTAAAAATACAAATGAACGAAAATAAACCACTAAAGCCTCGTCTACACGACGAACCTTAACTCGAGTTAAGCGTTAACTCGAGTTAGCGATTATGTAGCGTCTACACGACAACACCCGATAGCGATTATTACCGATTTATTATGCATGCGTGCGTGCGTGTGTGTGTATGTAAACGTGCGTGCGTGTGTGTGTGCGTGCGTGTGCACGTATACGTGCGTGCGTGCGTGCGTACGTGTGTACGCACACGTGCGTGCATGCGTGAGTGCGTACATGTGTGCGTGCGTGCGTGCGTGCGTCCGTGTGTGTGCACGTACACGTGCGTGCGGACGTGGGTGTGTGTGCAGATACACGTGCGTGCGTGCGTGCATGCATGTGCAGGTACATGTGCGTGCGTGCGTGTGCACGTACACGTCCGTGCGTGCGCATGTTCACGTGCGTGCATGAGTGTGTGCGTGCGTGTGCAAGTACACGTGCGTACGTGCGCGCATGTGCATGTGCATGAGCATGTGCATGTGCATGTACACGTTCGTGCGTGCGTGCGTGCGCGCATGTACATGTGCACGTAGGCGTGCGGGCGTGCGTGCGTGCATGCATGTGCACGTACACGTGCGTGCGTGCGTGTGCACGTACACGTGCGTGCATGAGTGTGTGCGTGTGTGTGCAAGTACGCGTGCGTGCGTGTGTGTGTACGTACATCGTACTAGTGCTGCCGCCTATCGTGGAGGTTAAGCTAACTCGAGTTAAGCGTCTACACAGGGCCTTAACTCGAGTTAAGGTAACTCGAGTTAGCTTAACCTCGATCGACTGGCGAGGTTAAGCTAACTCGAGTTACCTTTACTTGAGTTAAGGCCCCGCCCCGTGTAGACGCTTAACTCGAGTTAAGGTTCGTCGTGTAGATGTAGCTTAAAAGTGTGTGCCGTGCTGCTTTTAAGACTCAACTGACAACTGAGTGCATGATAAATGAAAGTGTCAATGACACTATAGCTCACCATTATATACAATATCTCCCATTATATACTCTTGATAATTATATATGCGTAATTTTTGATGCGAAAATAAATGTTTCAGATCTGAGTCTGAAATCTGGGCGAGAGATGGCGCTACGCCTGAATGATCGCCATTTTGGTTTTCGATTATCGCGCAAAGAAAAACAATAAAATATTCCAGTCAAATTACTGTACATAACCAAAAATCTAAAACACAATATTACACGTAGGTATGATTGTAGAGTTGTTAACCAGTTAGATTCAAATTTTTCTGTTATTTTGGTCAAAGGTACGAGAGGGTAGTACGCAACCACAAGTTTAATATCTTTCCGAATCTCGCATCTCGCCACCCCCCAAAAAAACTGTAGGTTGACAAGGACTCACAAGTAGGTTGACCTAATCTACCTAATTTGCATAATTTCAAAAAAATATCAAAACCCGTGTGATATGTTTTGGGGCAAGTCCTTATTCATTCACATACCAAAAATGAAAGTGTCAATGACACTGTAGCTCACCTTGGGTGTGATAGAAGAGGGAGGGGGATATATAAAGCAAGCATATATATGGGAGAACTAATGATATATGCATAAGTTTTGATGCGAAAATAAATGTTTCAGATATGAAAGACTGAAATCTTGACAAGAGATGGCGCTATGCCTAAATGATGGCCATTTTGGTTTTCGAATATCGCGCAAATAAAAACAATAAAATATTTCAGTCAAATTACTGTAACGAAAAATCTAAAACACAATATTACACGTATATAAGTATGATTGTAGAGTTGTTGACCAGTTAGACGAAATAAACGTAATAGGACGTTGTCATCTCTCCCATAAGAGTAACAACTGTTTTGGGGCTAGCCTTACACATTCACATACCAAAATTTAACAAAATCGAATGAATTTAGATGGCCATTTTCATTTTTGCCAAAAAGTGGGCGTGGCTTGAAAGTAGGTCGACTGGCGTGCTCCAAAATAGGATGTTCAAATCTCTCCCATAGGAGTAACAACTGTATTCAATTTGAAACATGTGGGTCAAACGGTTCTTGAGTTATCGTTGACCGTAGGCAGACACTGAAATGCATAGTGAAATTGCCAAAATCTACCTAATTTGCATAATTTAAAAAAAATATCAAAACCCGTGTGATATGTTTTGGGACCAGTCCTTATTCATTCACATACTAGAAATGAGCAAAATCCGTTGAACCTGAATTGACTTATGGCCATTTCCATTTTTGCCAAAAAGTGGATGTGGCTCGAAAGTAGGTCGACTGGCGTGCTCCAAAATAAGACGTTCAAACCTCTCCCATAGGAGTAACAACTGCATGCAATTTGAAACATGTGGGTCAAACGGTTCTTGAGTTATCGTTGACCGTAGGCAGACACTGAAATGCATAATAAAATTGCCAAAATCTACCTAATTTGCATAATAAATAAAAAAATAAAAACCTGTGGGACCAGTCCTCATTCATTCACATACCAGAAATGAGCAAAATCCATTGAACCTGAACTGTCCTATGGCCATTTCCATTTTTGCCAAAAAGTGGACGTGGCTCGAATGTAGGTCGACTGGCGTGCTCCAAAATAGGACGTTAAAACCTCTCCCATAAGAGTAACAACTATATATATATATGCAATTTGAAACATGTGGGTCAAACGGTTCTTGAGTTATCGTTTACCATAGCCAAATGTTGACGGACGGACGGACGGACGTACGACACACCATGGCAATAGCTCATCTTGACGATGTCAAGGCGAACTAAAAATGTATAAATTTGGCATAGTTTAACCTGGTATATAATTACCAAAGTTTTGGCTTTTGTCTGCTAGCTGGCTACATTCGCAGGAAAATCGGCTGTTACACTTTTCTGACATCACCCCACTGCTAGAATTATCGGCCATATTAAGGCCTATTTATCGTCATTATATCTATAAATATGAGTGGATTTGACAAATATGGATAAGCCCATGTTGGTGTCGGACACACGGGCTATACACTGAAGTTGGTGGCGTGGGCTTGATGTTCACCGCGGCAAAGATTACCGCGTCGGAAAATCGGCCTCTCGATCTTCTCTTATAATATAGATATATGTATATATCTATATATGCATGTGCGCGCGTGTGTGTGTGCAACAACAATTTCCACATTGTACCACAATAATATTTCAATTACTGCGACAGTATCGGCAATAGTATTCAAACTACCACAATATTATCGATCGTGAAATTGCACCAAATAGTCACTCATAATATCCTAATAGATTAAATATTTTATATAGTTGCGTGTGCGTGTGCGCGAGATTTGCACTTTGTGAGATGGACTTCCCTGATATAAACACGGTTGATATCATATTTACCTGCTCAGACTAGACTGAATCAGCTGATCATAATAGTAATTATAGCCCCCAGTATACCTTTTTACTGCACCAAGAATATAGAATGATTGTGATACAAATGATCCTATGCTAATATAAAACTATGTTCAACAAGACAACAACTGTGGGTAACACCAACCAATTTCGACCATTGGCATTTCGATAGGTTAGCATCCCACGCAAGCATAAATACACCACGGCAGCAATATATGTCTGGCTGCGATCAACTTTGAATACAATTTCGAATCCGGTGCTTCACAATTTTAATTTTTACCATTATTTATGCAGTATTCTTGTGATATATACATTGTTAAAATTCGACAAGGGAGTAAGCAAATGCATGTGATTCCATGAAACATGGACGGAGGAAATTTGAGTTGAGATAGAACCTGTACAGTATTGATTACTTTTACTGGTGTGTTCAGACCTATTTCACTCTATACCAAAACTATAGAAAAATTGTATTTTTAACCTAAATTAAACAACTCGAGCTTAGGTGAGGAAAGTGTCTATTCACTTCACCATAAAGCCAAATACCCGTAACTAGGCTGCTAATAAATACTTTAGTTTTGCTCCACGCTGCAACGCGTTTACCTAAATAACATGTACAATACGAAAATACTGTATCTTCGAACTAATAAATTGTCCTTGAATTGAAAGTAAGCATCAGGGAATATTCAATAATGTAGGTAAGGGATTTGGGGGGGGGTGTTAGAAGTAGTAGCTCGGATGCACGTCTTTGCACGTCGTATCTAGCTTAGATAGCTTTAGTATAGCATTTAGCTTTCGAGCGACAGAGACCACGGCGGGCACAATGAATATAACTGCAGCATGCAGTGCCAGCTGCGCGGCTGGTGGCACAACAAATAAGAGCAAGGTCGCTCTTCCGCCGCCGCAGCTTGTGTACATCCTAAGCGTGTAAATTGCATGCCTTCGCGCTGCTCATCGGCAGAGTTTCTGGCGCTACGACCTCCGCGCTACTATTTTTACTCCATCGTGACACTGTTCATGCTGGAAAAATAGACCGAAATACACTTGCACGTGTGGTACTTTCCATCGTAGAGCGTGACGACAGGCAGGCAAACAGACGTACGAACCCATCCGGAGGGCAAATAAACTAGGAGCCTTTACAACTACTGGCACACGGCAAGCAACGGCGGCGGCGACATCACTTGACAGGCCCCGCACGCGCAAAGATGTGAATCGGAATTGCATGCCAACTCAATTCAATAAAAACGGAACTAGTTTACACCTGTGCCAAACCTAGAATATCATTACTCGGTTGAACACTACGTTACCACGTAGAGTTACTCATGGCCTGATCCGAGCGAACCACGAGGAGAACGTGTAACGATAAGACAAGCACCCATTCACA